CTGTTTTAACAAAAGAAATCAATTCTTTGTGGCAATTATAATTTTAGCTAAGCTTTAGTTGATCTCATTTGTATCCTTAGACTACAGTGGAGCCTAGCTGCTGGTGCTTCATGCAAAGAGCATTTGTTCCTCACCCAGGTTCTTCAGTCTAGGGTTTCCAGGAAATTGGGGCCGATAACAGCATTCCATATTTCATATACATGCTTGATATTAGTGATTATCTGGATCTTGCATTTTTAGTGTCAGATCATGCTGCTTTCCTTTAAAAAAAAAAAAAAGACATTGTCCCCGGAGGAAACAACTGATCAGTGGTGGGTTGAAGTATGGCATCTATAAAATAGGATTTCAGGCTGGGCTCGGTGGCTCAGCCTGTAATCCTACGCGCTTTGGGAGGCCGAGGTGAGTGGATTGCCTGAGCCTGCAGGTTCAAGACCCACCTGGGCAACTTGGTGAGACCTCATCTCTACAATAAATTAAAAAAATTAGCCAGGCGTGGTAGCGCACACCTGAAGTTCCAGCTACTTGGAAGGCTGAGGTGGAAGGATCGCCGGACCCCAGCAGGTCAAGGCTGCGGTGGCCAGGAGCGTGCCACTGCACTCCAATCTGAGTGACAGAGTGAGGCTCCAGCTCAAAAAAAAAAGGTGGGGGGGTGGGGGGTGATGTTGGTTGGTTGTGTTCCCTCCTTCACGTACAGGGCAAGGGAATACTCTGAGCAGTGGACGGTGTTTTGATCCTCCTCCTGAGAACAGGCTCTTAGTGGCAGTGTGCGGCTTAGTGGCCCTCATTACAGTCACCCAACTACTTCACTTTGGGGTTATGTTTGGGGAAGTTGTATATGGTACTATTGAAGAGGATGGGCTTGAAAGTCAGACAGATATGGTTCCAGTCCCAGTTCTCCTCTTTATGGCTGTGTGGCCTCAGATCACTTACCTATATCTGCTTCTCTATCCATGAAATGGGACAGATAATGCCTACTGCATAAGTTGGTTCTGAGACTTAAATGAGAGGCTATAAGAATTATGTGGGAATCTAGTAAGATGCTACCTTTTAGTAGAAGTTCGTTCAGTGATAACAGACTGCTGTTTTAATTTGACTTTCCATGTAATATTGCCAACCCAGAGAGAATTCAGCGATCTTGTGGACAGGATCATTTTGATTCATCTGAGTTTGATTCCTCATTGTAAGTAAACAGATTTTCTCACTGCCCAGCAGACTGGTCATGCATCTCTAAATATAAAGATAGTTGAATTTCTGAACCTGGAAAATTGAAGAGTAGATTACTGACTGCTGGTGACTTCATTATGGTAACTTTACAGTATTAATGCCACCGTGTGAGAACCTTGCCTACCTGGCGTTTCTCTTGGCGTGTCTCTTTTTTCTTTTTTTTTTGAGTTGGAGTCTCACTCTGTCACCCAGGCTGGAGTGCAGTGGCATGTTCACAACCACTGCAGCCTCCACCTGCTGGGCTTGGGCGATCCTTTTGAGTAACTGGAACTACAGGCGTGGACCTCCATGCCCGGCTAATTTTTTTTTGAGTTGGAGTCTCACTCTCAGTGGCACGCTCCTGGCCACCGCAGCCTCGACCTGCTGGACTCTGGCAATCCTTCTGCTTCAGCCTTCCAAGTAGCTGGAACTACAGGCGTGCGCTTCCACATCTGGCTAATTTTTTATTTATTTTAGAGACAAGGTCTCACCAAATTACCCAGGCGGGTCTCGAACCCGCGGGCTCAGGCAGTCCACTCACCTCGGCCTCCCAAAGTGCTGGGATGACAGGCTGAGCCACCAAGCCTGGCCTAATTTCTTGATTTATTGTAGAGATGAGATCTTGCCAGGTTGCCCAGGTTGGTCTTGAACCCCTGGGCTCAGGCAATCCTTTTGCCTCCCATTTTACAAGTTGCTGGGATTACATGCATGAGCCACTTATGCCCAGCTTTCTTTTTTTAATTTGTTGTAGAGATGAGTTCTCCCCAAGTTGCCCAGGCTGGTATCGAACCCGTGGGCTCAAGCAATGCTTTCTCCTCCGCCTCCCAAAGTGCTGGGATTACAGGTGTGAGCCACCACACCTGGTCACCTCTTCTGTCTTGTTGTACACCTCAACCTGTGACTCGTATCACTTCTGGCTTATAAGTTTTTCCCAAGCAGTTCCACAAGTTGTCATATGACTTTCGGTTGTGTTGCAAAAAATCGTTGTTGATTCTGATGTACTTTTACCATGAGATATGTGCTTAAATAAGGACATATGGATGATAAGGTGACATTGGAATCTTGAATTGTGTTCCAACTCTGCAGAGTGAACATAAAAACATACACTTTTTCGCTGGGTGTGGTGGCTCATACCTGTAATTCCAGCACTTTGGGAGACCGCGATGAGAGGATTGCCTGAGTCCAGGTGTTCAGGACCAGTCTGGGCAACTTGGTGAGACTTCTTCTCTACAATAAATAAAAAAATGAGCTGGGCTGGTGACGCACACCTGTAGTTCCAGCTACTTGGAAGGCTGAGGTGGAAGGATTACCTGAGCCCAGCAGGTCGAAGCTGTGGTGGCCGTGAGCGTGCTACTGCACTCCAGTCTGGGCGACAGAATGAGACTCCAACTCAAAAACAAAACAAAACAAAAAAACTTACACTTTTTCTAGTTATATATAAAACTTGTAAAGTATATTTGAACCTACAAGCTCTGTAAATCAATCTTTGTTCATTCCCAGGAGTATTCAACTTTGGAGGGAACTAAATTGAGTTTTCTGTTCCTCATGTTAGTGAAATCTCTGAAAGCAGATAGAACAGAATCACTTTTTTTCTAGTTTAAGTGTTGTATTTTCAGTTTTTGCCCCAGGTAACCTTACTATAAGAGCTGCGAGGGCACACAGTAGAATGACAGTGTATCCAAAAGAGCAGGAAAGGTCATCTGTGATGATGATCCAGCCCCAAGTGCTAGCTTGACAAATGGGGAGGGTGAGCCCTGGACCGCTAAGTGGTATGCCCCTTGTGGGGAGTGATGGCCAAAGCCAGGATGGAAGGCAAGTTCCTCAGTTTGCCTGTGGCCTGGTGAAAGTGAATTGTTAGTCAAAACCCGAGTTTATTCTAAATGCCCGTGTCAAGTATATAATAACATAGAGTAAGTTTTATGTTTCTTTATGATAAAATTACAGTATGCCTTCATGTGTACCTTTTCTTTCCATATTATTTCATCTTTTTTTTTTTTGAGTTGGAGTCTCACTCTGTCACCCAGACTGAATTGCAGTGGCCGTTCCCGGCCACCGCAGCCTCGACCTGCTGGGCGCCGGCGATCCTTCCGGCGATCCTTCCGCCTCAGCCTTCCAAGTAGCTGGAACTACAGGCGCGTGCTACCACGCCCGGCTAATTTTTTGATTGATTGTAGAGATGAGGTCTTGGCAAGTTGCTCAGGCAAGTCTCCCCCCAGCGGGCTCAGGCAGTTCACTCACCTCAGCCTCCCAAAGTGTGGGATTACAGGCTGAGCCACTGAGCCCAGCCCATCTTTTTTTTTTGAGTTGGAGTCTCACTATGTTACCCAGGCTAGAATACAGTGGCACCATCACAGTTCGCCGCAGCCTCAACTTCCTGGGCTTAAGCAATCCTCCTACCTCAGCTTCCCAAGTAACTGGAACTACTAGGGTGTGCCGCCACACCCAGCTAATTTTTAAAATTTTTTTGTAGAGACAAGGTCTCACTATGTTGCCTAGACTGTTGAACTCCTGGACTCTAACGCTCCTCCTGACTCAGCTTCTCAAAGTGCTGGGTTACAGTTGTGAGCCGCTGTACCTGGCCTATTTCATCTGTTTTTGTACTCTGAGATTTTTTTCAGTGTTTGATTACACGTCAGAAAACATATTTGTATTAGTATACATCCATGATCCTTTTTTCCACTTGTGTTTGATGATTCTTTTCTGAACTATCACTTTTATTTTCTACTCGTAAACATAAAAATGATGAGACTTGGGGATGAGTTATGGAAAGTAAGTGCAGGAATGGAGATGTTGGCAACTTTTCAGACCTGCCAGTATACAAGTTCATTTTTAAAGTGTACGCATTCTTTAATGGTGTTGTAGTTAGCATACCCAGAATAAATAGTTCCCTTTCCCTATCTACTCAGAATTATATCTAAAAAAACTTTTTTGAGGAGAAAGTCTAAGCTCTCACTCTGTTACCCAGGCTGGAGTGGTACAATCATGACTCACACAGCTTCCAGCTCTGGGACTCCGGTGATCCTCCTGCCTCAGCCTCCCAAGTAGCCAGGACTACAGGTGTGTGTTCCCATGCCTGACTATGTTTTTGTTTTTTGTAGAGACAAGGTCTTGCTACATGTTGTCCAGGCTGGTCTCAAATTCCTGGGCTCAAGCAGTCCTCCTGCCTCAGCCTCCTAAAGCTCTGGGATTACAGGGGTGAACCACTGTGCCCAGCCTAAATCGAAAATTATATCTACTACTTCCATAAATTCATTCTTTTTTAATTCAACAAATATTTTAATGTTGGTTATATAGCGGGCCCTGTCCTACGCATTTGTGATATGGTGAATGAAACAAAGTCCTTGTCCTCAAGTAGCTTACATTTTAGGGGGGTAGAAAGACAAGCAGGTAACTGGTATGTCGGATGAGAGTCCCTTTTCGATAGGATATCAGGGAAGAGGTCCGGAGAGGTTGTGTTTGATTAGAGGCTTTTAAAAAAAACTGGAGAAAGAACATTCCTTAGGTAGAGAGAAGTGAAACAGCCCTAAGGGGAATTGGAAGTTGATCCCTGTTATTTGAGGAACAGCAGTCATCAGTGAAGTGAGGTCAGAAGGGTAGGGGAGTCTGGGGCCAAATTGTTTGGGCCAGGTAGGTGATGAGAAAGACTTGGGTTTTATTCCAGGTGTGATGGGAATCCATTGATTTGAACAGAGAGTGACATTATCTGATTAAGGAAAACTGGCCTTGGATTTGCGCCCTGCTCTGTGCTTCATACTGTTATATAACTTCATACTGTTATACATCTTTTCTCATTGCAGATTGTCTATGCTGAAAGACCTCTTACAGACAACCACAGATCACTGGCTTCTTATGGCTTGAAAGATGGGGATGTTGTGATTTTACGCCAGAGGGAGAATGCAGACCCTCGACCTTCAGTGCAGTTCCCAAGTAAGTCTTCAGTGGTTTAGCATTCATTACCTAGCACAAGCACAAGTAGGTAGCAGAGCATAGTGGTTCAGAGTTTGGGATTTGCTTTGAATTCAGACTATCAGGGCACAGATCCTGACTCTGCCTCTTGCCTGCTGTGTAACTTTGGCAAGTTCTTTTTTTTTTTGAGTTGGAGTCTCACTCCGTTGCCCAGACTGGAGTGCAGTGGCCGCTCCCAGCCACCGCAGCCTTGACCTGCTGGGCTCTGGCGATCCTTCCGCCTCAGCCTTCCGAGTAGCCAGAATTACAGGCGCGTGCTTCCTTGCCCGGCTAATTTTTGATTTATTGTAGAGATGAGGTCTCGCCAAGTTGCCCAGGCGGGTCTCAAACCCATGTGCTCAAGCAATCCACTCACCTCGGCCTCCCAAAGTGCTGGGATTACAGGCTGAGCCACCGAGCCCGGCCGAAGCTCAGATTTTAAATGGTGTCTTTAAAGTTACATAGCTTGCTGGGTGTGATGGCTTATGCCTGTAATCCCAGCACTTTGGGAGGCTGAAGTGAGAGTATCGCCTGAGCCCAGGACTTTGAGACCAGCTTGGGCAACTTGGCGAGACCTCATCTCTCCAATACATCAAAATATTAGCAAGGTGTGGTGCTGTACACCTGTAGTTCCAGCTACTTGGAAGGCTGAGGTGGATGGGTAGCCTGAACCCAGTGGGTCGAGGTTGCGGTGGCCATGAACGTGTTATTGCACTCTAGCCTGGGCAACAGAGAGAGACTCTGACTTTTAAAAAAAAAGTTACTTAGCTAAAAAGTGAAGGCACAGAAATTAAAACTTGGTGCTTTTTCTATTATGCTTAACTTGGTAAGCATTAAGCAACTAGCCACAAAGTTCGGTCTTCCCTACCAGCTGTGTTAATCATGTAAAAATTTATCATTATCTATCTTGGATGCTATATCCAGAATAGGTGTTTATAGTCCAGAATCTGTACATTTGGATTTAGGAGGGTTTTGTGTCCCTGGAATAATATGCAGAGTTAGAGTTGTGTGGTATGAACAAGTGTGTGTGCGCATTGCATAGGGAGAGAGCCCATGACTTTTGTCACTCAGAGAGGTTTATGAGCTACAGAAGGTTTATAAGATGTGGAGCTACTTGGTGAAAGGTGTTAGTTTTCCACTCCCTGCCATATTCTGGTAGATTTCTTTAAATAGTGTTTAGCCTCTAGGTCACTGGTTTTAAAGTTCATGGTAACAGATGATAGGAGTCTATGTGACCACAGGCTCCGACTCTGAGCACAGTGCTTCTATTCAGCCTGAAACTGGAGCTTATGAGACTGGCAAGCACTGACTCTACTTGATCAGGATGCCATTCGTCCCTTGGGGCTACTGCTAAACTTTAGGAGGACTGGTTGTTCAAATATGCCAGTCCATAAAAACTGAATCTTCCTTTGGTTCATTTGGTGAGATTGTTAATTTTGGAGATTTCACTGTTTCTTTTCTTTTCTTTCTTTTTTTTTTTTTTGAGTTGGAGTCTCACTATGTCACCCAGACTGGAGTGCAGTGGCCACTCCTGGCCACC